CCCACCCCCACCCCGCTGACCCTCCCTCGGTATGCATGCATGTGCACGCGCAGAGCATCGCAATTACTTTGTCGTCGACAGCCCGAAAAACTCCTCCGACAGTCGGCTCAACTCGTCCTTCCAGTCGGGCAGCGCGCACTTGCCGGCAGCCGTGGCCCCGGTCCGGTACTTCCTGGTGTCCATCAAGCCGGAGGTCAATCCCGACGGGGAGGTGGTCTGCCTGCGGCTGCTGATCCGGTCGGACTGGCTGCCCAACCGGCACGAGGTGATCGCGGTGTCGGATTTGCCCTCGTCGCCGCGTGTCTTCGGCCATGGCCGCGTCCCGTATAAGGAGGCCGTGCGGCACATCCTGGCCGGGGTGCCGCACTTCACCACCGGGCCCATCAACAGTGCCGGGCCCAGCAGCGCGGTGTCCTCCCTTCACACGTCGCCATCGCCATCGGTGCACTCGGGACTGGCGGCCGGCAGTGGGGGGCCGGCGGCGTCCACCCCTGGCGGGCCCTGGACCGCGGTTTCCTCGTCCATGGCACCGGAGTTCGGCTCGCCGGAGCTGTCGGCCTCGTCCTCCACGTCCTCCCTGTCGTCGACCTTCTCTTCGACCTCGTCGCTGGCCCAGCCGCCGCTGGCGGCGGTGTCGGGACAGCACCCGGCTGAGACTTCGCCCAAGGGCGGGCTTACTGGCGGCTCGCCGGCTTCGTGCGCGGGCGGCCCCTTCGAGCCGGGCTTCCAGCTGGCCGGCTCCGGGGCCACCACCGGCTCGCCGTCGTCCTCCTCGTCAACCGGCGGAGCCGGGCCCTCGCCAGTTCGCATGACCCGGTCTTCCTCCTTCAAGGATGCTGCCTTTGTGGCGTCTGCCGGGGGCGCCACTCCGGCTACCCCGCCCCCTTCGGGATCCGGGTCTGGCGCGGGCCAGCAGCCGCAGCCACCCCCGGCGGCCGACCCATTTGCCAGTGTGGTGCCAAACGGCATTGGCAACTATCGGAACTTCGACTTGAAGCGCATCGAGGATGCCCGCTTTGAGAAGGAGCTCCTCGGCCTGGATGAGATGCGCGTGCGTCCTTGTGCTGCCGTGTTCCTTTCGCCTGCTAGAGCCCCTGCCCTCTCTCCTCTCGCCCTGTGCCTTTCCTCACCCCCCCTCTCCGTCCCCATTCGGCCTCTCTCTCTCTCTCTCTCTCTCTCTC